ATCTTGTTGAAAATGATCAAAAAAAAATTCCCTGAAAATTTGAGCCCTTAATATTAACTCAAAGTACTCTACCAAAGCGTATAAAGATTTCCCATTTAAAATACACCTTGATTATTATTTTTTAAATATCTATATCTCAGCCGCTTTATATCTCAACAAATATCAATCTTAGCGATTCAACTTTTTTACAAGTTTGTTTTTTATATTTTTCAAAGAATCCAGTCACTTTTGAAATATCTTCAAAAATATGATAATTTTTCACTAAAATAAGATTTAGGGACCCGTACCATCCTACAGGTGCAGATTACAGCTGTGGCACATAAAGCATTTTTGTAGAACTTTTGATTACGAGTAAATCCCTTTTTTGGACAATCCAATAGCATAAAATGCGGCTGAGATATAGATATTTAAAAAAATAATCAAAGTTTACGTGTATTTTAAATGGGAAATCTTTATACGCTTTGGTCGAGTACTTTGGGTTAATATTAAGGGCTCAAATTTTCAGAGAATTTTTTGAACATTTTCAACAAGATATTGAGTTGGGAGCGAAAAAATAAAAATAGTCGTGAAAAAAAAGCACCCTAATATCAATCTAATGTGACTTATCACACAAAATTTTTCTAAGGGGACAAATACATTTCACTGTCATATTGTGACAGTGAGGCGTATTTGTCGTCTCCTGAAGAATTTTACGAATGTGGAATACAACATATTAGAACGTGGGTATCTGACATATTTGGGAATATTCTTAAAAGCTTCTAAGAACATTCCAAAAAGGTATACTTAAAATGTTCTTAGGATGCTTTTTAGGAAGGTTTTAAGAATCTAATTGTATCAATAAAAGGGTATCTATTGAATGTTTTAAAAGTCCCTAAGAACATTCTTAGCAATAAGGGAAGATTCTAAGAATATTCTTAAAATCAAATTTTGCTATCAGGGCTAGGTTTTTGCCTAGTTTGCCTATAGGTTGCTCCGGCACTGTACATATACAAAACTGAACAAAGATAATATCTTTGGTACTGAACACTAAATATTTACCAAATAGAAATGACTAGACTTAAATTAAATTTTCATTATAGAGTCAATCCAAATGAAAACACTAAAAATTAATTTAAAAGTGCGCTGCATAATTTTTTATTTTAATGAAAAAATTTGAGGATGATCTTTTAGGTATCATATATGAAAAACCGTTGCCGTTTTAATTTTTAGTTGCTTTATTTTTAATTAGAAACCTGAAATCGTGTTATTTTCTTACTCTCTTATAAGAGGCTAAAACTTTTTTTCTGTGGCAATTATTGAAATGATTGTAATTTTATTTTAGTGTCTAGTAAGTATGTTTTCAATATTAATTAATATTATCTAATTAGTTCATCTTATAAAAGAATGGTAAACCACTAAAGATTTGTAATAATTTGACAATTTTCGTGATTTTTGTCCTGCTCCTGTGCCTAAACTGCTAAATCTAGAAAGTTGCTTTTTTTCAGGTATCAAGTACTTATACGGGCGTTTCTCTGTAAACTGGGCAACTTGAAGTAAGAAATTGTCTAGGCAAATTTTTTTGTTATATTAAAATATTAATATTACTTTGGAAAACATTGAGCATTTTCTGAAAAATCTATACAGGGGACTGTTTATAAAATCCGGAGACAAAGTTTAGATGACTTTTTTAGAATTACAAAATAATAATTATAAAAAATAAATAAGTCACAGTAAGAACCCAAGCAGCAAAGAATGACACATTTTGGGCAATGTGTCGACACAGCGTCGAAACATGATTTTGGACACGACACATTTTAAAGACACATAGTCCACTTTAAGACCACTAAGTGTGGAAAATGAGACCAAAGTGGTGATGAAAGTTGTACCAAAAAGTGTCCATAGTTTGCCCACAAAATATGCCCGATTTTTTCTTAAAATTTGCCCACAATGTGCCCGGTAGTGTGACCGATTTATGCCCAAAGAGTTTCTAATTTGTATGTTACCAAATGGTCACCATTTGTTCCGAATTGTTGCCAAGTACTGTATTTTGTCCTAAAATAAACCCAAATGGACACTAACTATTTTTAATTGGAAACGAATTGGAAACAAACTAGATACAAAGAGGCAAAGTAAGGCGTGATGTCTTATTATGTATATAATATAATATTATGAAATATATTATAACTTAAATCTAACATTTTTGGTATATATTACCTTCATTTTTATTGCGAACAAAATTTTATTGGTGATTATAAGCAAAATACTTTTAATAATTGATAGGGCCTCACAAATAATAAGTAGTATTTATAATTTTTTTTTATTAAAAATATTTTTTATTTCCTATATTTTTATCAAAACTAGACGTATGTGCCTTCTATGTAACTTAAAACATTGCATTTTTTAAATTTTAAGTTTAAATTTCACTAGAAAGTTAAATTATGTAAAAAAATTAAAGCGTCGAATCTGTTTCAACAAAAAAATATGGCGAATTACACAATTTGTCCCTTTGGAACCTAATGCGCCCGCCCCACACATTTTTGAAACAAATCAGACACCATGAATCTAAAATGCAGCTAAATGGAAACTTTTGCGTCCACTTGACTCAATTTGGTAATAAAATGGAAACAGATTGATAAGGTACAATATGGAAACATTGAGTCGACTAAGTGTCGACCCTAATGAGTCTAAATTGTGTTACTGTTTCCAAGAGGGCACAAAAGCGACGCAACTTGGGCACATATTTCTGAAATAATGCTACTTAGACCCATACTTTTTTTGGACACAATTAGTTTAAAAGGTGTCGACCCAAAGCAACCACAAATTTGAAGAACGGACACAGTTTCCATTTAGACATAAGTTTTCCGATTTGTGTCGAAACAATTTGGAAACAAAAAGTGTCGTGCCCAAGTTTGGGCACAAATTGCTGCTTGGGAAGCAAACAATATTGGTTGAATAATTAAACAATTAGGTTGATTCCAATAGTTACTGTCTTTAATTAATTAAGTCTGAAGTGACCATTTTGCTTTGGTGACACGTCAGGGGACTGGTTTTTAAGGACTATAAAAACGATTTTGATACATTAAAGTTTATTTTATTGGATTTTGAACGTCGAGCATAGGTAGATTAGGATATTATCTTTTGAAGTTATCTACGAAATATTTATGATCTGTTATTTTTCTAAACAATATTAGCTTGAGACAATGAGTTGCCCAGTTTACAGAGAAACGCCCATACAATAAAAAAACGTAACTATTATTTTAAGTTTCTAGACTATCATTTTCTTTATTAAAAAAATTATTGAAACTTGATAATTTTCAAAATTAGCCAATTTTGCCCTCAAAAATCATTATGTTGAGGAAAAAATAAAAATCTGAAACATTCAGGAAATGTAGTCCCCACCTTTATCTTTTCAGTCTAGTTAGTCTTGTTTTGTTATTTTTATCCATGTAAAAGATATAATAATTTTTTTAATGCAGTTAAGAAGCGATATTGTTAGTTTTATTATAATTTAAAATTTAGATGGCTTTGACTTAGTCAATTCATGTTTGGTAGAGAAATGTCAGAACTGTCAAAAATATTTTATAAATATTATTTGTGCGTATAAGTTTGCAAGTGTAATAAATGACGGAGTGTTCGAGATTCATGAATTTAATTGCAATTAAAAATGCAAGAACATATCATAATTTTGTACCTCTTTCTCATAGAAAATATTCAAGTTCTGGGAAGTTTTAAATTGTTAAAAATAAGCAAAAACCAAAAAATATTCTAAATAAACCCCTTTATTATAACATGTTTTATTTTAACCAGTTACCTAAAAACTAAAATTTAAAGAAGTATTTACAGATTGTGTAAATTATATATTGTATATTTTTATTTATTTATATATATATATATATATATATATATATATATATATATATATATATATATATATATATATATATATATATATATATATATAAATATATATGATTATATTATTATTATATATATTATTATAACTACCAAATATATCAGAACTGTCAAAAATATCTCATAATTATTATTTGTGGTATTCCTTTGGTGATTTTAAAAAGTTTTGTATATAACATAATATGACATATTATGTTATATACAAAATTTACCAAAGAAATACGCACAAATAATATTTATGAAATATTTTTGACAGTTCTGACACTTCTCCACCAAACATGAAAGCCATTTAAATTTTAAATTATAAATAAAACTAACAATATCGCTACTAAACGGGCATTAAAAAAATTAATATATCTTTTAAAGGAATAAAAATAACAAAACAAGACTAACTGGACTGAAAAGATGAAGGTGGGGACTACATTTCCTGAAAGTTTCAGATTTTTATTTTTTCCTCAACATAATGATTTCTGAGGGCAAAATTGACTAATTTTAAAAATTATCACGTTTCAATAATTTTTTTAATAAAGAAAATGAAAAGAAACTTAAAATAATAGTTACGTTTTCTATTGTATAAGTACTTGATACCTGAAAAAAAATAACTTTCTTGATTTAGTAGAATAGGCACAGGGCCAGACAAAAATCACAAAAATTGGCAAATTATCATGAATCTTTAGTGGTTTACCATTCTTTTATGAGATTAACTAATTGGATAATAATAATTTATATCAAAAACACACTTACTGAACAGTAATACAAAATTAAAATCACTTCAATATTTGTCAAAAAGTTCTGGCCCACTATAAGAGAGGAAGAAATTGACACGATTTCAGATTTCTAAAGGGTGCCAAAAATTAAAACGGCAACGGATTTTCATATTTGATACCTAAAAGATCATCCTCAATTTTTTTTATCAAAATAAAAAATCAAGCAGCGAACCCCATTTGGTGTTTTTATTTGGAATGACTCTATACAGTTGAATATATTTATAAATTGTCAAAAATGGCGAATGCGCCAGGAAAGTATATGGTTTACAAAGTTATTATTCCTAATAATTATTTTTTTATAAGTAAATGAATAAATTATTCGTAGGTAATCTTCAAAATCAAATGGATGGAGACAAAATCACTGATCTAAAATCTTGTTGGAAGCAATCTCCTTTAGATTTAGTTAGTAAGTGAACCTTTTGAAACATTTATTTACTATAAATTCATACGCTCAAGAAGTATCGCTAGTAGCGCCACCACTCGGCTGTTATCATCGTAACAAAAGTACAACTTTTGATAATCAGCTGTCAAACGCGTGTTTTTGAGAATAAAGCCGAAAAATGTTAAAAAAATATCGAAAAAAAACCGTGGCTCGATTTGTTGTGTTGTTGGGTGTATTTCGAGAGGAAATCCTGGGTTGAATTTTTATCGGTTTTCCAATAAACAGTGTTAATCCGAATGAAGAAATAAATTTCATACAGTCCCTGTAAATATATATTGTATCTATTAGATACAATAAATACACATTTTGGTAATGATTAACGTGAAAAGTGTACACATTTCAATTCAGTAAAAATCGTCAAACAAATAAGTCGCCTAAATTTAAACAGCATTTAGCAATATTAAAAGCGTTTATTAAGAATTCTTTAAAGTCTCCTCTCAACGGTAAAATACCATTATATTGTGTATTATATATAATATTATGTTGCCATGAATTCGTAGGTATATTTTGTTGTTTAAAATGCAGTTGTCGGCGTTTTTTAGACAACTCGAATATAAAAATGATTGAAGTTAAGGTTATGTTTTTGCAAACATTATTTTTTACTGATTTCTTAAAAATGTCCATACTTAAATATAAATTATATTAGGTAAAGTTATCATTAGTTAATTCTGCACCAACAAATGTACTTACCGAATTGGATCCTTTGGCAAAACATGAAAATGCAACGATTTAGTTCTTGAATTTTATTTACTTACAATTAAAAACAATAATTCACTATGATCCCTTAGATAAAATACACACACTAACGTAACTATATAAGCATTTAAGCGTTGAGTTTCTTTATCAATGATATAAAGAATAATTAATTGGAATCGAGTACTAAACCAGTTTATTAGTTTTTTCCTTGCAACGTAAAACACAAATAACGTGCGCGATTTAGCTGTGCAATTTAACACAATTTGTTAGTAAGACTTCTACCTTCCTCTCTTTTGTAAAAAATGATGTACAGTTCGTGCCAGTGCTGCCAGAGCAGATGGTCGGATAATCCGTATATATTCGTGGAAAGGGTGGGGGGAAGCCTCGAAAAATCCGTAAAAATCCGTTTTTGTCTAAATTTCGAAAAATTTCTTCTATAAGGGGGATTTTCGTGACAAAACATACCTTTCGTCAAAGAAAATCCGAAACATCTCAGAATTTTTCGGGGGAGTTTCAGAAGTTTGAACCTCTTAAGAGGTTCAAACTTCTGAAACTCGAATTCGTCAGTGATATAATTCTCGTCACTTTCCATTTTTCACAAAATAAAGTATTTTATATACAGATTCGGATATATAATAAACATTGACTTTGAGATCAAAATATTGCCACAATGCAGTTCAATGCACTGAACTGGAGTCAGTATTGGTTAGTCGTTACTATTGGTGGCATTGCGCCGCTTATATATTGGCAGCAATAACAACGTGTTATAAAACCTTAACAAATGATATGAAACTATCGTTCTCTTTGTCACACTCAATGAAAAAGCATATGTTTCGCATATATTCGGCGTTTAAGAACCCTATATTAAGAACACATCCATTTTCAATCCGCTTTCTTTTTCTGTCTAACGTAGTAAAAAGGAAGAGGAATAGAAGCGTGACAAAGATGATCAAAAAACGGGGCAAAAATGATGTTTTTTTAGTATTAGTATGAAGCTATCTTAAAAATCCGTAAAAATCCGTATTTGATGAAAATCCGTTCAAAATCCGTTTCCAATTTCTCTAGACCTGGAAAATCCGTAAAAAACGGATAAATCCGTTCATCTGGCAGCACTGGTTCGTGCTGTATTGTTGACAATTCTTAAATTCACGCAATGCTTTTGAAGTCCACAAGATGGCGCGCGCGTTGCGAAAACCCGATACTTCTTTAGCGTATACGTCAAAATATTTTTAAAACAGTTTTTATAAAAGCAATCCTTTTATTTCAGAAACTAAGGAAGCCGACAACAGATCAACTTTTCAAAATAACGGAAATAGACGAGGTTCTCTACAATTATGGCAATTTTTAGTTGCTCTCTTGGATGCACCAGATGCAAGTGCTGGGTGCATAGCTTGGACAGGAAGGGGAATGGAATTTAAACTTATTGAACCGGAAGAAGTAAGAGAAAATAGTTATTTATGTCATTAGGTTAAGAAGTAAGGCTTTTTGTGCTAAGCTCAATTGAGCGAAGCACAAAAAGGCACTTCTTGGCTCAATGGCATACAACATTTTATCTTCAAAGCACTTTATATAGGTCAATTTAATTCAACATCAAAGCGGCCTAACCTCACTTTTTTAGAATCTCATTTATTTATTAGCTAAAGATTACATTAAATGTACAATAATTATTATTGCCTTTAGAAGCAGTAATAGTTTGACAATACCTAGCAACATGATTTAAGTAGAAATGGATTTTTGCTATTACATTGAATTCAATTAATTGTTTAATAAATAGGTAGGTATCTAATTTCAATTTGTTTGGATTTTTATTTAAAAAATAGATAGTTTGTAATTTTTTAAGCTGTGTTTAACATTTAATTTCACTGAAAACTTAAAGCAAATTAAAACTTAAAGGTAATTTAAATCGTAGAAAAAGAATCGTGCGTTTTCGTGGTTGCCTAACCTCACTTTTTGTTTTATTATTCATATTTAATTTTAGAATAATTTAATGAAAAATATTAAATATTAACAGTAAAACAAACAAATTAGTGCTTATTATAAACAAATTAAACCAGTTTAGTACGTTTAATTTCTTAGAAAAGGATTAATTTGTCAAAACAATACCCCTAGCGAGAAAAAATCGAACTAATTACTTGCCTCATAAAAATTTTTATCGGCCTAGGCCATAACAAGGTATTTCTTTATCGAATGTTGACAACAATAAAGTTTAAATTATAAACCGCGTGAAGAAAAAATATCTTATAGAAGACTAATACCAAAAAACTATTTTTTTAAAGGTTGCTAGAAGATGGGGAGTGCAAAAAAATCGTCCTGCAATGAATTACGACAAATTAAGTAGATCTCTTAGATATTATTATGAAAAAGGAATTATGCAAAAAGTTGCTGGTAATAACATCCTTTACATATAAATGTACATACCTATATAACCCTTTGTTTTAGGAGAAAGATACGTTTATAAATTTGTCTGCGACCCAGAAGCACTCTTTAACATGGCCTACGGAAACAGCGTGGAAAATCAGATTGCAAATAGAATGGATCCTTACAATAATAAAACGGAAGTTTCTCACCATTTGTCTTATTCCGAAATGCTCAACTTCTACAATTGCGGCATCAGTCATCAGTATCATCCACATTTGCATCCATACATACAAGAAACCAAACGATATTCTTAAATTAGTATAAATAAACTATTATTATTTAGGTATAACAACTTATATTTTGGAATATGCAAAGAAAACATCGACTTTTACTCTAAACTAGATGACCCGTGTTACACTCATGTATTCTCGGTTGCCATCATGCGCATCAATCACGACATAACCTAAATGTTTGGCGTTTAATTTAAAACTCGAATGGAACGAAAAATTAACTGGATAAAAAACACATGTTCTTCGTTCAATACTTCCGTTAAAAATAAGGTGGAAATAACTTGGAGCAGTTCGGAATCATCGGATGACGAGCATATTTATTTCGATCCGTCCAGAGAAATTACCGAGGATGAAAAAACTCAACAAAACAATTTATTTTTAAAACCAGATTCTTCCGAAAAGGGAAAAGAAATATGTAAGTTTACTAATAAATCTCCTGTAATTAAAAATAAAAAAATCATAAAAAGAAAACGAAAAAAATTTAAAAATAATTTAAATTTAAATAATGAATCGTATTCTAACAGCCCAGGTATTTCACAAAGAGAAACGCAATCCTCTTTTAATTTTTTTGAGGGAACAAATTGTATTGAAAGTTATCCCAGTCAATTAGTGTCTCGAGTAGAATCAGAGAGTTTAAACATGAATTGTAATCAAAATTTGTTTTGCCAAACAAAATATGTAATAAAAAAGAAACGGCAGAAATTAAAAGGACTTGCTTTGCAAATGAGTAAATTGTTAACACTACAAAAAAATAGGATAAACTTTTGGAACCATGAAATATTGTCAAATAAAAACGAAACTCAATTAGAAGAAATTAATTTATTGATTATTAAATTCTGGGAGGAGTATGGAAATAAAATTTTTGAATGTGAGAGTAGAGATTTAAAATTTAACTCCCCAATAGTTTTATTGATTATTAATTACTCCCATGTGCTTAATTCTTTACCAAAACCAAAACAAACATGTAGAATTTTTTCCCCTTTTAGCATTCACAACCTATTTTATAAAAATTGTAAAACTGTTTGTCTATATAATGTAAGTAAATATCTATTAAGTGGATAGTTCATTCTTGTATTTGTACATTTATTGATGTAAATAATACTGTATCAAATAAAATAATATTATGTACCTATGTGAAGGGTTAAATAAAGAAAATTTATATCAACAGCAAGTTTATTTACATATATCAATCACAACATAATTATGTTAACACTCCACCAATATTGCTACATAGATAGTGTTTTTGACTGAAAGCACAGATAGAAAATACATTTTCTTTTTTTATTTTTGCTCTTTTACAGAAAATGCATTTAAATCTTATTTTTTGTCACTCCAAGTCACATATTGTACCCATGTTGGGATACAAAAATATAAATAATTATTCCGAAATTTGATTGTCTTGATTTTTATACAATAATTTATTAGGAGTATTATTTTGCATAATAATTATTATTTATAAAAAATAACGGTTGTAGATAAAATTTTGTGCAAGTCTTATTTGATATGCCAGATATTTTATTAATCCAAACCAAATAATAAATTAATTTGTATCTACATAAAACAACAACAATGTTATATTTATATATTTAGGCATCGCTAACTTAACTTTTACCAACAAAACATAAATCATTTAATACTGTAATTTTATTGCAATATATTAAGTGGGCATTAGAGTAGTCCAGAAAATTGTTTTTTCTTGTAAAAATAGTATATTATTATACAAGAGATAATGCGCGCAATCTTGAGTATAATACTATATTTTACCTACTCCAATAGGTAGATAATTTTTAACAAAACTTATGGTAAGTATATAGGTACACGATTTTTTTACATTGAGACATATTTACTTACATTTATTATGGAAATGTTTGCTGATACCACACTATGTGCATCAGTGTTATTGTGTTTTTGACCACAAAGGTGTACTTATTGCTTCACTTCCTTACTTAGTGTAGTACAAACAAACAAATCTTATATTTTATATAATATATATTTTCGTACCCAATTATCCACAATTAAGTTTATTTGGAGGGTGAATAGAAACAAATTTACACGATTCGTTTAAAAAATCATGCATTGTTTTAATTTAATTTTTTTGAAGCTTTATTTTAAGTTAACAAACTGTTTGCTATAATGAAGGTAGGCAACCAGATTGTAAATACCTCTTGTAATTTATTTATTTTGGGAAGACTTATAAGAATTATTTGGAAATTCTTAGTCTCTTTGTGAAGACTTAAAGAGAAATTTGTATCGTTATCATCAAGCAATTTTGTAATATTTCGTTATTCGTTCGTGCATTTTGTATGTTTAAACTATATTTTACTAAAAATTAGATTTTCATACAAGTGCATCAAAGAAGGCAAATATAACTTGGTTATGCCCAAATTTCCTTTTTAAAACCAGTTAAAATCGTGTTATTCTTTACTTGCGATATAAACCTTACCAATAACTCAATGACTAACAAAATTGAAATTATAGGGTCACCAAAACAGTTCGTCCGTAAAGCAAAGTTAATTTTTACTAAAAGGTTTTTTAATTAACTTTGCTTTGTGGACTAACTTCATTGGTCACCCTATAATTTCAATTACATTTTTAATACAATCATGTTTACAGGTTTTAAATGTCCTTTTTTTTAAGTGGTTTATCGATTTTTGTTTTTTTTTTTAATATATCCTACAATAACTGTTGAATAATTATTATGCTTTACAAAAATAATTATTAAAAACTATATGATATATTTTTATAAATAAAAAAAATATTTATTTTTTTAAAGACAAGAAATGTAGGGTGGCACGAGCCAATTAGGACCGCGCTGTCCACCTGCTAAAGGTCGATCACGCGTCCAAGCTTGTTTTCTTTAACTTTCTTTACACTCATTATTAAAGACACCCCAAAAAATTGATTCCGGTTTTGTTTGATTTCCGTATATCGGATTGGAAACTTGAAAATGTTTTCTATTCACCCTGTTTTCAGAATTATTATGTTTGACAAATTAAAGCTTTAATTTTTTTTAGATAATTGGATATTTTTAACATTTTTCCGCAAACATAATATATTACAGAATGCGTATTAAATTTATACAACCAAATATGAACATTAAAAACTGTTTTTTTATTTTTTATGACATGGCATTTCCATTGTGTTGTTTATGTTATATATTTTGCAACAAGTGAAGAAAATGGTCGATTATACGAGCAATCATTTGACGTAGCATTTCGGTGGTTGAATAAAATATTGTGTGAGACTATTGGTCGGTCACAAGACGAGATTCCACGCTCGAGGAATCTCCTTTTTCTCCCACTAGTCGCACAATATACTATTGTTTATTGTTTAACATTGTATACCAACTTTGTGCAAAAAGTGCCAATTCTTTATTTGAGATGTTTTTTTTAGCAAATTTGGCAGTTTACCAGTTTAAAAATATATTAATAAAAAAGGCATTTTGTAAGATTATATAATGGTCGCCATAACTTATGTACTTTTTTGATACATTGTTGAATTTCTTGCTTTTTTAATGGTAAAAAAATGTATAAAAATTAATGCATCAATAAAATAATATTTGAAAAGTACCTACTATTTTAAAAACGAAAATCAACAAATCAAAATTAATTTTTGGGGCATTCCACGATACTCGGGAGTGTTTGTTCCGACAGTCACAATTAAAAATTGTGAGTAAAAACCACATGGTATAAAATTAATACACAGTAAAAAAAATCAATTCTAAGCAACACTAATTAGAGTTCCCACAGGTCCACACTAAATAGTGTTGTTTTATAACACTACAATTAGAGTTAATTTGTAGCGTAATTTTCCCCAAGTCAGCAAGTATGATTTAACACTATAACACTGAGGTTGAAGTAATTTTACACTGTATTAAAAAGTGTTAATTAACCTAAAATCGTGTACTTCTACACTTCCTGGGTAAAATCCCACTTTTGTTCAGTGTAAATTAACACTACTTTGGAAAAGTTCCAATTTTAGAAAGGTACTTTTACTCTTTTAGTGCAAACTTCTAGTGTAAATTAACACTATTATTTGAGTAAAACCTATTGGTGGTAGTGAACAAAACGAAAAGGTAAATAAAGAGAAACATTTATTTGAAACAAAATTCTATGAAAATTATCAAAATCGGTGCCTTTTAAAATATAATTTTATATCAAAATCGGTGCCTTTTAAAATATAATTTTATATTTGAGTCGTATGGCTGGCTTAAGCAAAATGGTTCCTTAAAACGTAAAAGTTTTAGATCAATGGAATTTTTTACTGTTTTCCATTTTTCTGTTATAAAAAATGGGTGATCCCATTGGTAGAGAGGCGTCAGGCGGCTGTATGTCGGGGATTTACCACACGTGTACAAATTTTCCATAATATTAATAAAAATGTAGGTATAGATTAATATAACAACCATAACGCTTGAAAATAAAAAGTAAATCAAGTGTGTATGTATTTATATTATTAATGTTACAAGTACCCGACCTACTGCAGTAAATTATTGATATATAATATAGGTCGGGTATGGACATCCTTTTAACATATTGGTATTTATTGAGTATTAAGGCTTAAATAAAAAGGATTTACCAAAAAATAAGAACGTCCCCTTATGGATTCACCATAATTAAAATCTAACTGAACAAAAATGCCACACTTTCACAACGCGGTATCTCCGGATATGCACTGCGTAGGTAGATAGGTACCAACCAAACATTTTAAAACGCATTTCGGTTATTACCAGTTTTTTCAGTCTATTTTGCCATTGGTGTAATTTAACTTTAATTGTGATATGCACTAGTAGTGTACATTTTGTCACTATTTAAAACATTAAGGGGTAATAAACACTCACATTAAGTTTTTCTACCCTTTTGATTTATTTTAATAATAAATAGTGTGTATGTACCAACGAATAATGTTCATATTCCTAAAATGTGTTTAATAAAATTAATAAGCACTAAATGCTACCTAGTGTATTTTGTAGTGTAACTTTTACACTTACAAATCAACTCTAATATTTTTACACTAAAAAATTTACACGGGCAAATTTTTTTACTGTGTAATAAAGAATATTTCAAAATAACTTTAATAACGTGTGGTTTTTAATTTTGACTGGCGGGACAAAAATTCCCGAGTAACGTGGAATGCCCCTTTTACAATTCAAATTCTTATTTTAACATGTTTTACAGTACATTTTATTAGATTCCGTTTAGAAAGAAAAACATTACGTATATTGTCAACAACAAAACAAAAATCATAGAGAATATTTACCATCGATTATCTCCTTAAATATCTCCTTATAAATATATATATTAAAAACGTTTTTATTCACACCTGTGCGCTTTTCAGTTTTTGTTGATAACACTTTTAACTTGATTTGTGCAATGACAAATTGTGGTGAATATTCTTGATGCAAAGGTCCTTGCCGACGTTTTAGCCCTGGTGATGGAAGCCCCAATTCTTTTGGCACCATCTAAAACCATTTAAAAATATGTAATTAGAAAAAGGGTTATTTTACTAGAACCCAACATTTTTTAACATTTAAAATTTCAAATTCGCAAATTAAATTTTTTTATAATTTGAATTTAACTTTTTTAAGAAATAGGTAGGGTTAACCACAAAGTTATTGGACACTTAAGGAATAATATTTATTTAAAATTTATATATGCCGTTGTTTTAAAGATTTTACTTTTTTTCTTATAAATATATAAAAAGGATAGTTTGTTTGTTTAAACTTTATTTCCGTTTACCAAAAAATAAGAATATTTGAAATTTTAATAATATTTTTATAAAAACATGCAAAAAAGTATAGTAATTGGACATTTTATATAGTAATTGGACACATTGACCATAGTTATTGGACATACAATTTTTATATAAACATAACAACTTTACATCAAATAACATAAATAGTTAAATATTTTTTAAAGATAAATTGCTGTTTTAGGTAATTTTAACTACTAATTCCTTGGTCTGACTTTGACTTTGTTGCAAATATCATTAAGTGTGGTATATCTAGTTTGTGAAGCATTTATAATGTTTAGGCCGGAACAGGATGATTTATATATATCTAATATTTTTTCGAGTGGTATGTTAAAAGTATTTTCCGAATTTATTAATTTTGTTGCCATTAGTTTTGTATGTTCTCTATCATGCACTGTATTTAAATCACTGTTATTCTGCAAGATATCCTGTGACGAAGAAATCACTATATTACTTACTCTCTAAAAATGAATTAGTCAAAAATGTCATAGCGAAAAAGCAGCTACTAATAATTCTCGTCAACAGCAATTTGTATCCAGGACATTTAGCAGTCAATTCCTATGAAATATTATTCGCTGAATCCGAAAATGCCGTCAAAAGTTATAAAAGTAGAACAGTTTTTGAAATATAATCAATTTTACATAAAATAGAATTGACTTTATTTCAAAAACTGCTTAACTTTTATAGTTTTTGACGGTCTTTTCGGATTCAGGAGACAATTTTACATAAGAATTGGCTGGTAAATGTCCGGGATACAAATAGAGTATGATATTGGACGTATGTCCAATAATAAAAATTTACATTTTTTACCAACCAGTAATTGGACACTGTTTGTTTTCAGAACACATTTATACCACACACTGATCTGAACACTTTTTAGAAATATTTTTTATTGTAATTTAAACACAGCCCTTAACAAAAAAACAAAAATCTTACCACCAAATTAACGTGCCAACTTTTTTGTCCTATATTGGACCCAAAATTGTATACAGCGCCATCTAATGATTTGACTTTAAGGTAACTATTTATAGAACTCTTGTTTTTACAGTATTTATGTTAATTGTCCAATAACTATAATTAAAGTGTCCGATAACTGTCTACTTTATCCTATTATTTTTTTTATTTAATTTTTTCAAAATTATATATTTAAATATTGTTACTATTTAAATACGTGATAATGGGGGGCAAACAGTTTAACAGATGTTGGTTTGGGAAAAAGTGAGGTTAAACTCGTCTGCCAGATGTCAAATAAAATTGGCTTTAAATTATTACTAATTTGTAATAAAGTAGTAATTTGTTAATTAAAAAACGTTTTGTTTTTACTACATTGGCACTGCTGAATTTGCTATCACAGCCTACTGTTATTTATTTATCAAACACTTTTGTAGGCCTGCATAATATTCCATGAAATTCCATTCAACATGAAAGTTTTTAATAAAATTTTATTAAAATTAGGTTAAGAATTTATTAGAACTATGCAATGAATTATAATTTATATTCTATAGCTGGAAGCAGAAAGTTTCTATGCAATTTAAAATGTTATTATTGTTTTTTTTTTAATAGTAATTACCTGTTGTAAAAACAAATTAAAATCAATTTGCATAAAATTACTGGAGAATGTCTAATGATTTAGAAAGGATTACACTGAACAACAAGTGTTACTATTTTTGTAAAACGTCACGACAACATTTTATAAACATTAATTACTGTTCATATATGGTAGGTATACCAACATAATCGAATGCGTTAAAATCGAGCTTTATCTGTGCATCGTAAAATTTGAAATGCGCGCCATTTACCTGTTTATTGATTTCAATTATGACACAAATGCGCTTAGGTACCGCTACAAACTTTATTTAACCTATTAAAATATAAATATTTATACTCACTTTGAATACCCAACGCTTCCTGTAACAAACAAATAAATGCGAAGATTAGAACAATTGTTTTAAACTTGTTTTGACTTAACTTACCAGTTTCGCTTTACCCTGCGTTTTCTTGTTTCTATGCTCCAACTCCACTTGTGCCTCATTTATAAGCTCGTCCAGGAAATCATTAACATCATTAATTTTTTCCGGATCATTTTTGAATTGTGCTATCCTTAACTCTAAAGATTGATTTAAGTCTAATTGTAAATCAGCCATGGTAGAAAAAATATTGTCACTATTTATTTATGTATGTGGTTATGGCAAATTAATAGGAATATTCAGCACAACAAACGTTCATTTTTATTTATTTTATTATCTGTTTACTTAATACTGTTTAATTCGAGGTAAATTGCACGTTACGCGAAGCTTGTCACTTTACGGTTTTACTGTTTTAAACTAAAACTTATTTATTATGTGTTATGATAACACTGTTATCACATGTCAGTCAAAACTCTCGGCGTCACTAGCGATCGCGATCCTGCGAGCTCCCCCCCCTCCGTCGGTCCTGCTGAGTATCGTCGCTCGTAGTCGCTTCCCCTTCCCCTTTGTCCCCGGTCGCCTGCCTGGGTCTGCGTCCTGGACGGCGCACATAGGGCACGGTGCTGTTCTGAGGTGATTTTTGGACTTTCTGTGAAACCTAATTTTTTTTATATTCTTGTTAATTAGGTCATAACTAAAATTTTAAGAGCAAAATAAAAAAAATTTGACGGTTTGAATTGTTTTTATTGGCTGTTTATTAAAAATATTATGCACTCTTTCAATTATCCAATTAAAACTAGCGATTTTATTTAAATATTTAATATTTGCATAACTAAAAAAAGGTTTTTACAATTTTTTTTATATATTTTACTGTTTTGTTGCAATAAACGTTCAAACTTTTAATCTAACCTTTGACGTATACATTTATGTTCCCTTAATTAATATATCCTTAAAGGTTGCCATGAAACTTGGATCTATTAAAAATTTATTTGACGTTTGAATTGTCATTTTCGGTATACGTATTCTATAATTTTTGTTTAGTTTTTTAAAGTGTTTTTTATAAACAAAAATGAAAAATTGTAGTAAAAGTTACGAAGAAATTCATGAAATTTAGGACCGGTTTATTCATCTTTAGTAAAGTTTATCGGGCCGATAACTTTCATGTCTTGGCAATATCTAGTATCCAAAGAAATTATTCGTCAAATAAATCAAAAATGAATAAATCGGCCCTAAATAAAATGTGGCACCCTTAGAATTATTGTTTAATAAATGTATACTATACATTTAACCTTAAATTAAAACTTTAAACGTGTATTACAACAAAACATCTTTAATCTGATTTAAAAAGTTATAATATTTAAATAAATTTATTTAAATATTATAACTTTTTAAATCAGATTAAAGATGTTTTGTTGTAATACACGTTTAAAGTTTTAATTTAAGGTTAAATGTATAGTATACATTTATTAAACAATAATTCTAAAGGTAAATTTTCGCTTAATTTTTAATTCTTAAGTCTTAAATGTTAAGTTTTAAGTCTTAAGTCTGCATAAACCCACCTTTAAGGTGGGTTTATGCAGACTTAAGACTTAAGCTTAATCGGCCCTAAATAAAATGTGGCACCCTAGGGTGCCACATTTTATTTAGGGCCGATTTATTCATTTTTGATTTATTTGACGAATAATTTCTTTGGATACTAGATTTAAATCGCAAGTTTTAATTGGAGAATTGAAAGTGTGCATACATATTTTTAATAAACATCCAATTAAAACAAAATTAACCGTCAATTTTTTTTTATTTTGCTCTTAAAATTTTAGTTATGACCTATAGGTTATTATAATTAACAAGAATATAAAAAAAATTAGGTTTCACAAAAAGTCCAAAAATCACCTCTCAGAACAGCACCGTGAGGGGTATATGCTTTAAAAAGCTGGCCAAAAGTCAATTTTGTAGAATAAATCGCATAATACAATTTTTATTTACATTGGATAGCTAAATAAATGTAGGGGTAAAAATATTAGAGTTGATTTGTAAGTGTAAAAGTTACACTACAAAATACACTAGGTAGCATTTAGTGCTTATTAACTTTATTAAACACATTTTAAGAATATGAACAATATTCATTGGTACATTCACACTATTTATTATTAAAATAAATCAAAAGGGTAGAAAAACTTAATGCGAGTGTTTATTACCCCTTAATGTGTTAAATAGTGACAAAATGTACACTACAGTGCATGCCAATTTGTTTGTCTGTTTTGATGTTACTAAGAGCTCTTTTTTCTTTACACTACTAGTGCACATTGTATCACAATTAAAGTTAAATTACACCAATAGTGGCAAAATAGACAGAAAAAACTGGTAATAACCGAAATGCGCTTTAAAATGTTTGGTTGGTACCTATCTACCTACGCAGTGTACGGAGATACCGCGTTGTGGAAGTGTGGCATTTTTGTTCAGTTAGATTTTAATTACGGTGAATCCTTTAGAGGACATTCTTATTTTTTTGTAAGTATTATACTTTCTTTTCCTTTAAGCCATGGCTTATGCATACCCGACCTATATTATATATCAATAATTTACGGCAGTAGGTCGGGTACTTGTAACATTAATAATATAAATACATACACACTTGATTTATTTTTTATTTTCAAGCGTAATGGTTGTTATATTAACCTATACCTACATTTTATAATATTATAGAAAATTTCTACTCGTGTGGTAAATCCCCGACATACAGCCGCCTGACGCCTCTCTACCAATGGGATCACCCATTTTTTATAACAGAAAAATGGATTACTGATGAATTCTCAATATAATTCATTGCTTACAGCCAGTAAAACATTGCATTGATCTAAAACTTTTACGTTTTAAGGAACCATTTAGCTTAAGCCAGCCATACGACTCAAATATAAAATTATATTTTAAAAGGCACCGATTTTGATAATTGTCATAGATTTTTGTTCCAAATAAATGTTTCTCTTTATTTACCTTTTCGTTTTATTCTCTACCACCAATAGGTTTTACTCAAATAATAGTGTTAATTAGTGTTATTATTATAATTAGTTAAGGAAGTGTAGAAGTACACGATTTTAAGTAAATTAGCACTTTTTAATACAGTGTAAAATTACTTTATCCTCAGTGCCTTAGTGTTAAATCATACTTGCTTACTTGGGGAAAATTACACTAAAAATTAACTCTAATTGTAGTGTTATAAAACAACACTATTTAGTGAGGACCTGTGTGAACTCTAATTAGTGTTGCTTAGAGTTGATTTTTTTTTACTGTGTAGTGATGCGTATGGATAATATATATAACGTATTTTTTCTACTCCCACCTTTAAAACGACCATTATCGTACATGTTTCCATGACACTAAGTGACCTTTTAAATACACATTGACAAGTTGTGGCTTTACGGCGTTTTAGTCACGGGCTGAAGTTAGTTTTAAGTTAGTTGACAGTTGTCAAATGTCAATCATTAAAATAAAGTACCTTTCTTGTAAATATTACTAAATGTGAAAATTATTTTATTATATCAATACAAAAGTATTAAATATTTTCTCAACGCCAATATTTGAGTAGTTTAAATGAACATTGTACTGATCTTTTAATTTCGCCGGCAGTAAACTAGGTATAACTTAAATTCGAGCACGGACTCCACTGTAAAGTGCTCATAAAACATTTTCTTTACTTTCACTGTAAAAAAGTGTAAGTACATCTTCAAGAAATACATTTTGATTTATATCCTTTATAATCTGTGTTTGACACACAGATTCCCCTATTGTTTCATAGATGGCGCTCTATAAAAATATTTGATTTAAATCATTTTAAGATAATAATAAGTATTTATCGTAGAAAAAGTATAGTATGCACCTAGTTTATAAACTTTTCTAAACACTCATTAATTTAAGAACTCGATCGCAAGCTCGCTCGTGCCTAAATTAAATTCGTGTATAAAATGGCGTTTACTAACTTTTATATATATTTATATTTATATATATATGAAATAATATTAAATTTTTACATTCAAATATACAAATTTTGGAGCTTTTGAAATATTTTTAATATTTATATGTATATACTTCCAGGTGCGTCCCGGTTTTCATTTAATTATTATTTCACAGAGAAAGAATTTGTCAATATTAGTAAAAGAATTGGTTCCGGATTTGCTCGGATTTCTGTGTTAAGCTGTGATGTAGGCACGTACAATGTGAACCTCTACCTTTAAGGGAGGAATTAATTACTCAATGCTTATTCTTATCTCAGAAACTACTGAAATTACAAAAAATTTGTCGGGAACAAAAATTCATGAAATAATATATATTTTTTTAATATTATATTTTCACTTATACAGGGTATTCGGTTTTTCCTGGAACAATGGCAACTTTATTTTCACACCACACTACACACATAATAGTTATTTATGTCATTAGGTAAGTAAGGCTTGTTGTGCTAAGCTTAAGGTTTGAAGGCCGACGCGTAGCGGAGGCCTACAGTTGAGCGAAGCACAAAAAGGCACTTCTTGGCCGAATGGCATACAACATTTTATCTTCAAAGCACTTTATATAGGTCAATTTAATTCAACATCAAAGCGGCCTAACCTCACTTTTTTAGAATCTCATTATTTATTAGCTAAAGATTACATTAAATGTAGGTACAATAATTATTATTGCTTTTAGAAGCACTAATAGTTTGACAATACCTAGCTACATGATTTAAGTAGAAATGGATTTTTGCTATTACTTTGAATTCCATTAATTGTTTAATAAATAGGTTACCTACCTAATTTCAATTTGTTTGGATTTTTATTTAAAAAAAATAGGTAGTTTGGAATGTTTAAGCTGTGTTTAACATTTAATTTCACTGAAAACTTAAAGCAAATAAAAACTTAAAGATAATTTAAATCGTAGAAAAAGAATCGTGCGTTTTCTTGGTTGCCTAACCTCACTTTTTGTTTTATAATTCATATTTAATTTTACAATAATTTAATGAAAAATATTAAACATTAACAGTAAAACAAACAAATTACCTAGTGTTTATTGTAAATAAATCGATGTGGCTCCCGTCCCGAGGCGGGACTTAAGTTCAGTCCCGATTGACGTCACACACTGTAAATCGGTTTTTATTCCCCGAGATTTTATAATTTGTGTCAAGCTCGATGGCTTAGATGGTAGGGCGGTCGCTTGGCATGCGAGAGGTACCGGGTTCGATCCCACTAGAAGTTGTCAAACTTTTTTTATTTTTTTTATTTTATAAATTTGTTGTTTCTTTGTTAAAAAGTGTTTTATTTTTATCGTAACATAAATTTGCCCATTTTAGTTGGGTTTTTTGCTCAATGGGGCGGGGGGGCCCAATGGGGCGGGGTCGGTTGGGTTGTGTTGTTGAGTTTGGGTTGGTTTGGTTTTATGACGTAACTAAAGTGCCCTTAACATGTATACAGGTACAATTTATTATTATTATTTTATTATAACATAACAAATCTTAAAATTATGACGTCAATCGGGACTGAACTTAAGTCCCGCCTCGGGACGGGAGCCACAGCGTAAATAAATTGAACCAGTTTACTACCTTAATTTCTTAGAAAAGGATTAATTTGTCAAAACAATACCCCTAGCGAGAAAAAATCGAACTAATTACTTGCCTCATAAAAAATTTTATCGGCCTAGGCCATAACAAGGTATTTCTTTATCGAATGTTGACAACAATAAAGTTTAAATTATAGACCGCGTGGAGATAAAATTTTGTATTTAAATTACAAAATTCATGTCCTAAATGGCATGCTATAACATGCTATATTATACGATTTTAAACTGAGAACTCAAAAACTAATTTTGGCCAACTTTTTAGTACTAGTACCCCTATGTGCGGCGCGTGCCAGGAGCGTAACAAGTTGAAATAGTAGACACCTGCTGGCAGGATCATGTTTTGCATATGAAGAGTTTTAATTGAATTTATTTGCTCCTTTGGTTATAGGTTATAACATTAATATTTCTGAAAGGTTTTGTTCCAAAATGGTACGTTATCTAAGGCGCTTTAGAATTCCATTAAATGCAGTATTACAAAAAAGTGCTCTTTTAGTTCCACCGTTACTTCCTAAGAAGACCCAGAAGCTACTTAAACTTTGCACCTTCTAAGAACCTGCCTATAGTCCAGTAAGAATATTCTTAGGACCATGCTACATGTCTTTTAAGCATGCTCTTTAGAAGAAATATAGCATGATCCTAAGAATATTCTCACTGGAAGGTTTAAAAAACATTCTTAAAATAAAGTGGGTCAATGCATTTTTAAAGCTCATAAAATCAAAAATACGGAAATTTCAGAACGTTTTATTAAAATTTATTATATGATTATCTACACAAATTAATGTAATAATTATAATTATATAATTATTTAGGAGAAATTGTATTTAATACATGCCTGTAAAATCGTATTCGGGTGATCCGGAGTTATTTAACGCAAGCGAATGTAATCCCTTTAAAATATATGCATTCTGTTCATTGCACTAATCCATTACTTACCTTAGACTGGAGAATTCATCAGCTATACAGCTTAACTTAACAGATTAATACGTTTTATATGTAGAATTAGTTGGCTTGGATACTTCTATCCTAATAATTAATTTACATACAAATTAAATATAAATATTTTTAATAGGTTATTTATAATTATTATATATAGAATTTAACATATATATGGGTGATTCTACAAAAGTTGGGCGACTTTTGACCTCATTTTGTTTATATAGTTTTCGGAGAAAATTAAACAGTATTTTGTTATGAGAACATAGATAATATAATAAATATACTGTTCCATATCGGGCCAGTTACTTTTTCAAACAGTTTCTGAAATATCTGTGTTTTCTAAATTTGAATGCAAGGGAAGTGACGAGTATACCAGAGTACCAATTAAATACATAATTTATTGGAAAATATATGATTTATTGCAACTTTGAGCATGTTACACATCAGTGGCGGCTGGTGGATTTTGGGTATACCGATATCTATATATGGGACCCACACCAAATTTATATGAGTTTATAATGACATTAAATGGACAAGTTCTGCGCAAGCAGAATTTAAATTGAAGTTTGCGAAAAAAACATAACCGAAACATCGAACATGGAACTGACGACACGGTACTGATGAATGGGATACAAATTTGAGATTATAATTCGGAATTAAGTATTTTACCGATATTTTTTATTCACATATAGCCTTATATAAATTACAATGAAATATATATACGTAAGAAAATAACTATGTACACTGTACTGAAATTTTGACTGGAACTATACGTGCATTCACCACAACTTCGCCGCTTGCATTGTTTTCAAGATGACTGTCGTGCAAAGGGCGGGCTCTGTAGGTAATTTTTTACCAACACGAGTTAAAACGAGGACTTGACGTTTAAACTTCAATATTTCGCAGGAATTTTGAATTTTAACATTGGACATGGAACTGACGGGTAAAAGTGAGTACAAAGATTATCAATTTTTTTTAAAATGCTATTATTCGAATCTATGATAAAATATGAAGAATACATTACTTATTTAATGTTTTATAGTTTTTAGTGAAATTGAAAAATTTAACATAAATTGAATAAATTTTAAAATAAAATCACTCAAATTATTTTAGTCAAATATTTGATTCAGGAGTTGACACACCAAGGTACTGATGTTTTGAATATTTATTATGTTTTTCTACAAACTTGCTTTTGAAAAAATATATTAAAATTGGGTGGACAAGTTAAAAAAACCCGGATCTTTTGTAATATACTAAAATATTTACAAAAAATATTAAAATACCTACTCTATTGACTGATGACATCAAGTTATCCAACTTTTGTAGAATAACCCATATGTATACATCATAAATGATAGGGAGTTCCATGTATGAAACAACACAATTAGAATTGGTAAAGCTCTTCTGTATAGTGTCTTAAATTAAAAAAAAAAACAAAAATATAATTATTAATAAATAAAAATGCTTAAATTTAATTATTTTTTATGATTTAATAAATAAATTATCTTTCTTCTAATTGCTTATCCCTTGCAATTACAGCTTCATCAAACTTTACCATATATGTTGTGCCTTTATGCCAATGAGCTGTCACTTTGGCCGACTAAAATGAAATATTAAGGTGTAAAACATGTTTTATGTACCTAAAGGGTGGTTCAAAGAGAACTAACTATACCATTATTTAATATACTTACAAATCCTGTTCCAGTTAGAACAGCTTCAATAATACCAGCTATAAATACGGCACAATTTAAACTACTTTTGTCTTTTGGAACGGAAATAAACTTATTAACCAAAGGATCTTTTTCCATTAGATAGTAAGTATTTTCATCATCATTGGAATGTTCCAGTTTATCAGCCTCCCTTCCAAATAGAGCCTAAACAATTGTTTCAAAAAAAACTATACTTTATAGAGACTATAGCCTAGGTGTTATGGAAACAATACAAATAAGAGATAGTTCAAACAAATTTAATGACATTTTAGTAAATTATATACATAAAGTTCATTTTTTTTATCTGGACTGCGGCAACGTTGCAAATTTAGGGTTTTGGTTGGTAAATACAGTTGTCAAGTTGGTCGCATTGATAAAAACAAACTAAGCTAGTTATAAATCTAATTGTGGTTATGTATAAATTATTGTGGGTTACATTGTGCAGTTGCCAAGTTGAGTTGTCGAAATTCGTAGTTAAAAATGCAATTAATTTGGCTTTGGTGGTGCTTGGATGAGTAAAATCATATAAAAAAAGTAGTTAAATATAGTTTGCTTTACGGCTCAGAAGAGAAAGTATTCCTAGCGGATAATAATCTTCGCTTTGAAAAGAATTTATATAAAATAAATTAAAATTTTTTGTGAACGTAAATGTTGTCCAATGGTGAATAATGTTAAAATAATGTATGATGCAGTATTTATAAAACCAAATTGTTACTTATTTACTCCAAAAATTTCCATAAGGTGATGTACTTTTTCTTCCATTGTGGCATTTGGCATAATTTCATCAAAATAAAGCTTTGCCCTAAAAAGGGCTTTTACATTCGAATTTATTGCTATTATTTTTGGCATAATTATCTTTTTATTTATAATTGACAAGTAAATTATCAATAATAAATATTATTGTCAATTTGACAGTGCCAAAGTATTTAATTAAATTCTTTAGCAGAAGTACCATTTTTAAATACTAAGTCAAACTGGCATAAGCCATATTATTGTTAAACAAAAAAAACTAGTCCAGATAAAAAAAAAATAAACTGTATGTTTAACATAAAGAAGTGAAATATTTTACCTTCCATAATGTTGATTTTACAAAAAGCAGAATATTCAATAATTTGATTTCTCTTTTACCATTCCTTTCCCTCACAAAATACAAATCGATTAATTTAACACCAACTGTTTGTCCCAAATCATGCAGTCTAAAATAAGTGATGAAATTAATCTATAATTATTAAATTGCCAGTAAATGAACTACCTAGTTTGCAATTCTGGAACTGTTTGGGACTTGTTTTGGCAATATTGCACTACTTCCGAAAACAACAAAGCGAAACAACTTAAAGAAACTTCCCCTTTTCCTCTACTTAAAGGTTTATCCAAAATACTTCTATTTTTGTTTAAACTCATATTGATTTTAATTTACTTAACGATAGTTTACAAGCTTAAATATAGGTTATGTTGTTGAAATAATAATATTGACATTAAGCTGTCAAGTTGGCGGCCTGTAGCTTACAGGCCGCCAATTTGACATGGTTTAAGTAACCATCCAATTTTAATTTATAACATGATTATTGAAAAAACAATTGATATGTATACGATAATTTGCGTTAATTATATGATATTTTACATGGACATTGAAAGATATGTATGTCTATAGTAAGGTAAGATAAAACTAAAATACAAAACTAAATTTACAATTCCCACCCTTTTTCAGTGAATTTTGGTACCAACTTTAAACCGAGATAAATGACGTGGGGGAATTTACTATTAAGATAAGATGTAACCACAAATATTTGTTATAAAGAAAAATATTGTACTTATCTCTAAGTAATTTATAAAAGTGATTATTTCTTATGTGGCACATATAATAAAACCCATTTTTGTGTAAAAAGGTAAACCTTACTAATTGCTTTTGCTTTTTTTAAGTAAGTAATATTAAAATTGGTATTTTTTTTAGTTTTAATAGCAAAAAAACATGTCAGAACGAGTTCCTCCTTTACTAAGGAAAATATTAAACGCAGACATTAAAATAACCAAAAAGTTTGTGGTCCTTGCCAACAACTTTCTGCCTTTAAAATCCCTACGAGTTCACTACAAAGCCCTAGAAATATCCTGTCATGGAATACCATGGTTCGCATTTTGGATAGCGTTTACATGGTTTTTTAACAATACCTCGTTAGTACAGTTACAAGTGAACATGTTGATTGGTTTATTCCTCGATATAGTTTTAATAGCATTGACAAAAGCATTCTTCAGACGTCGCAGACCCACCAGCAATAAAGACGACGCTTTGGGACAAATTGGACCTGATGTATTTAGTTTTCCCTCTGGTCATGCTAGCAGAGCTGCAATGGTAGCCTTTGTATTTATTAATTTATATCCATTGCCCATTTTTTGTATACCACCATTGCTCGCTTGGACTACATCGATATGTATAAGTAGAGTTCTTATGCTTAGACATCATTTATTGGATGTTGCTGCTGGGGTTTTGTTGGGAATATTGGAAGGAGTTATTTTAAGTATCATATGGCTTGAACAAAGTACGGCTGTGTCTTTAATGTCCTATATATCAGATGAAAAATTGGATGGTGGGGAATTTCATGTATAGTATTAAAATGGTGTTTCTTATTTAATTATGTTATTGAATTCAAATTGTATGTATTATAAAGGACTGTTTGACTTGATACAAGGTGATAACATGGGTTTTTATGTTTTTTAAATTTATTTTGACCTTAGTTTTAGAAATATTCATTTTAAATTGCCAAAATTAATTAAACACAAAATTGTGATATTGTAAATACATATATTTAGTAAAAGGTCCAAACAAAAAATAAAAATTTTCTAATCTTTGTTAGATATTTTAAAAAAATATACTGGGTGTCTCAGGCTGAACAGTTCAGTCAATTTCTGTTTTTATATTTAAAAAATCAACTGATTTGTAGTGTAGTATATCAGATACCCAGGAATTTAAAATTTCTTCTGAATCACCTTGTACAATAAATATATTAACAAATAAATAAATAATTATATAATTAAAGATCTTTAAATAAATTTTATTTTATTAAAAGTAACTAAGAATTTTTTTATCGGATTTTTAAATAATTTTGCAATCTAGTGTGTACATTTAGTGCAGAATACCTTGCTCTGATTGGTTTATGTCGCATATTTCAAAAAATCTTTGGTAATATATTAATTATATTTAAAATTTTTAGATTTTTGTATGCAAATAATTTTTTTTTTACCATAGGTAACCTACAACTCTAAAACGCCTTTACCAATCTTAATAAATTTTTGGATAAAACTACTTTAACTTATATCTCAGTTTACGTGTTCAAGGGTTTTTCGAGAAAATATCCTTAAAGCTTTATTTAATACTAAAAAACGCTCGAAAAAAACTTTTATAGGGAAATTTTTTTTAACTAAATAAAAAATATGCTGTGAAAGACCGCATTTTTGTTAGTATACCCTGAAAATTTTGTACAAATAAAAAAAACAGTAACAAAAATACAGCGCTTCAAAGTCGTCAAAAATAATAAAAAAGGTGTCATTTTTACCGACTTTGAAGCGATGTATCTTCGTTACTGTTCGTTTGATTTGTACAAAATTTTCAGGGTATACTAACAAAAATACGGCTTTTAACAGCATATTTTTTATTTAGTTAAAAAAAGTTTTTTCGAACGTTTTTTTTATTATTAAATAAAAGGGCTTTAAAAATATTTTCTCGAAAAAGCCTCGAACACGTAAACTGAGATATAAGTTGAAGTATTTTTTATACAAAATTTCATAAAGATTGGTAAAGGCGTTTTAGAATTTTTTTACTTATCATGCCTTAATTTTGACGAGCAGCGTAGGTACTTGATAAAATCATAAGAAAAAAATAATTTCTAAACAAAATTATAAAATTTATAATAGTAAAATAATAAAACAACCCGGTATATTTAAACTTTTTCAATACACACAAATTTTCAGAAAAAAAAACTATAGTTATATATATATATATATATATATATTGATCCTGTTTTGCAATTAAACTTAATCTAAAGTTAAATAATTCCATATTCAAAGGCATATACCCAAATTTATTATTTATAAATTGATAAACTTAACGTAATAATTATGTTTTGAAGATATCAATGAACCATAAATAACTGATAAGCACAAGTATCTTTCTTCTTACTTAGTTGTTAAGGGAGATCAGTAGTGATGCATTTTATAGTCACAAAACCGATTAAACTCTATTCTGTGTGCAGAAATTTAATAAGCATCAGAGCTATGAGTTCGGAATTTTTGATCAACGACTCGAAATATTCGTTTTTGAAAGATTTGGGGTTAAGTGAAACCAACTTGGGTGTGTATAATGGAGAGTGGAAGGGATCTGGACCAGTAAGTAAAAATTAGTACAAACGTTGTACAGGGTGTTGGGAAATGTATATAGTTACTTAAACAAGTTTAAAAAATGTCATTTAATTCTTTTTTTTGCAAGAAAGTAAGGTAATTTTTGGTTGAATTTTTAAAACAAAAAATAAGCATAATAAAAAAAATATAGAATGTCTTAAAATGGCGTCCCTGAAGGTTTCTTATGGAGCTTCTAGGAAGCTTTTGAGAATATTTCCAAATATGTCAGATACGTTCTAATATGTTGTATTCTACATTCGTAAAATTCTTCAGGAGGCGACAAATACGCCTCACTGTCATAATTATTAATATGACAGTGAAATGTATTTGTCGTCCCCTTAAAAAATTTTGCGACATATTAATATAAGTATATTTATTTAAAAATATTAAATAAACAATTTGACCTCTAAACCATAAGTTGTATGACATTATTTCATAAAAAGTAAAATTGGAAAATTTTGTGGGATAAGTCAGAAGATTGAAGTTGAAGATAGTTAGGATTATTATACATAAAAATGTTAATTTAGAAATAAAAAATCGGTATACAAATTAATAAATATTTATTTTTAACATAAAATAAAATGTAAAAAAACAAAATATTTCCTGATAAAAGAAAAAACCAAATAGTTCTTCATAAAAAAACATTTTTCATTGTATTTAAGTTGGATAGAAGATTTTATGTAAAAGCCGGATAATTTAGATACCTATAGTAAAAGTATTTTTGTTATCGAATATTGTTTTAATTTGACAAATAACTAGGTATAAAAAAATATTTTGGGTTGTGTTTTTTACTTAGTATTTAATACTAAGTATAGGTACCTTTATACGTAGATTATGGTATATTTTACTATTTTATACAGGTACCTAACTGAACTGAATATGCTTAACAGAATGTTCCTGGAATATTCCTAAATGAACTTTCTATAGCAATTACTTTCTCAACATTTTAAGCATATGTTTAGAGTGGATTAATTTTTACCACTAAACTTTGCACCTTCTAAGAACCTGCCTATAGGCCAGTGAGAATATTCTTAGGATTATGCTATATTTCTTTTAAGCATGTTCTTTAGAAGAAATATAGCATGATCCTAAGAATATTCTCACTGGAAGGTTTACAAAACATTCTTAGAACATGACTAGAAGAAATATAGCATGATCCTAAGAATATTCCCACTGGAAGGTTTAAAAAACATTCTTAGAATAAACTGTGCTATCAGGGGTATAACCTATTGTATTTTTTATACGCCATTTTAAGACAGTGTATCTGGTATACCATCTGTTTGAGAAACTTATTTCCACAACACACAGTCAAAAATTTGTCAAAAAGAGCCACATTCGTCAGTAAATTTGTTATAGGTTGTTCAGTCGATTTGCCCCAGCAATGGTAAAGTAATTGCCCAGGTTAAAACAGGCACTGTTACCGATTATCAATCGTGCGTGGATGCTTCCCAATCAGCATGGAACACTTGGGCTGATCTACCAGCTCCACAGCGTGGTGAAATAGTGCGCCAAATCGGCGATGCCCTTCGACAGAAGTTGGTACCATTGGGAAAATTGGTTTCCATTGAAATGGGTACGTTTGTTAAAAATTTCTTTAATATCAATATTATATGGGTGAATATTAGACTGGGCCAAAAAAATCAACTATTTTTTTTTAGAAAAGTATATCGAAAATATGGTTTGGGGTGACAAAAAAAATTATGGTGAAAGTTTGAGTCCATAATATTAATATTAAGAGGTCTATCATCGCAATTTTATTTTTTTTCCCTCATCAAGTTTTTGTCTCAGAACTCCCAAACCATTGAGTTAAGCAAAATTTACTAAAAATATTTTTTTAAGAAAATTAAATGCTCTACAAAAAAGGTTAAATGAAATTTTTCGTCAGATAAACCGTTTCCTTAAAATCATGCCCTAAACATTGGTATAGTTTTACATTTTGATCTTTTAACTTTGGAATTTTAAAATTCATGTAAAAATCAGTACCTATAAAAAAACCGATGAATATTCTTATGGGAAATCAAATGCTTTACAAAAAAAGTCTTCTAACATTTTTGGCTAAATTCACTCCATCAAAAGTTATTCAAGGTTAAATTTGACAAGAATTTCGTTTTGACTTTAACTTTAACCTTTAATAACTTTTGATTGAGTGAATTTAGCCAAAAATGTTAAGAGGCTTTTTTTGTAAAGCATTTGATTTCACATAAGAATATTTATCGGTTTTTTTATGGGTACTGATTTTTACATGAATTTTAAAATTTCAAAGTTAAAAGATCAAAATGTAAAACTATACTAAAACTAAACGGTTCATCTGACGGAAAATTTCATTTAACCTTTTTTGTAGAGCATTTAATTTTCTTAAAAAATTATTTTTAAGAAAATTTTGTTAAACTTAATGGTTTGGGAGTTCTGAGACAAAAACTTGATGAGGGAAAAAAAATTAAAAATGCGATGATAGACCTCTTAATAGTAATATTATGGACTCAAACTTTCACCATAATTTTTTTTGTCGCCCCAAACCATATTTTCAATTTACTTTCAAAAAAAAAATATAGTTGATTTTTTTGGCCCAGTCTAGTGAATATATTGAGATGTCCCCCAAGTGAAAATGATTATTTTTAATTTTTGCTTGCACCGTTAGTCTAGAATGGGGTTTTTGGGAAGCCACCAGGTCTAGTAATAACATAACATAAGTGGTTCTGCACGAATGCAAGAATTTTAAGAAATCATACATTTTGAATATTAGAGCTTCACGGAAGATAACTTCACGGAGGTTAGGATTTCGTATGATTTTTTAAAAACATCCTTTTGTATATTTGAAATAAGTTATTGTATCTTTTGACACCTTAAATTTTTTTTAAAAATACAAATGTACATACATAAAATATTTATAAAAAAATCTACTTACTGATATATTACACTTCACGGTGGATAGGTTTTTAAATAGCAAATTAATGAACTTAAACTTTTGAATTATAAAACAGTCACATTCATCTATAATGTCGTAAACAGAGGTTTTTTCTTATTTAAAATGATTAAAGCGCCATCCGTTGCATAAAATTTAAAGCAAAAACGATTCACGGAAGATAGAATCAATCAACACCTACATAAATGGTTATAAAAATTATTTCTTTTAATTTTTTATAATATTTTATATTTGATTCGATTGCTTTGGATGTGTTTAATTTACTTAGTGAACTGATATTTTTAGTATGCTTTTACTACCTCAGATATTTGAAAACATATTGGTTAACCTAGAAAGAGTAACAGTCACGGAGGATAGGTTTTAGACTTTTAAAACATTGTAAAAAATAATTAATTGCGGTTAAAAATCTGGAACCTGAGCTGTAATATCTACTTAATTATGAAAGATCAAAACACAATAAAAGTGTAGGTCAAACTCATTTAATTTTATTAAATATCACGGGGGTAACATTTTTTGTGAGATTCACCCATATGTATTAATTAATAAAACTTGCTATTTTAGGAAAAATTCTTCCTGAGGGTATTGGAGAAGTACAAGAATATGTTGACATTTGCGATTACGCAGTAGGCTTGTCCAGGACCATGGCAGGTGCTATTTTTCCTTCAGAAAGACCAGGACACGTTCTTTTGGAAAAATGGAATCCTTTGGGTCTAGTTGGCGTTATTTCTGCCTTTAATTTCCCTATTGCAGTCTATGGTTGGAATAGCGCTATTGCCATGGTAACATTAATTTAGATATTTAGATACAGGATGTTTAATATTTCATACAAAATTATCATTTTAGGTCTGTGGTGATACAGTTCTATGGAAAGGAGCGGAAACAACCCCATTGGTTTCCGTAGCTACTACAAAAGTAGTGGCTGAAGTCCTTGAAAAAAATAATCTACCTGGTGCTATAGCTACATTATGCTGTGGAGGAGCGGACATAGGAAAAACAATGGCAGCTGATCCAAGAGTTAAATTGTTATCGTTTACTGGAAGCTCACAAATTGGTCAACAAGTAAGTGAAACTTATGAAGATATTTATATAAATTTATAATAAATATTGTTTGTTTTTATAGGTTGGTATGGAAGTGCAAAAACGTTTTGGAAAACACCTTTTGGAACTTGGAGGTAACAACGCACTAATTATAGCTGACGACGCCGATTTAAACATGGTAGTACAAGCTACACTCTTTGCCTGTGTCGGTACTGCTGGCCAGAGATGCACAACTACCAGAAGGTTAATAATTCACAAAAACGTAAGTCCAGAAAATAACCTTTTCTTGTACGAATACTAGCGAAAATATTGCAAGCATTTTGTTTATATAGTTTTCGGAGAAAATTAAACAGTATTTTGTTATGAGAACATAGATAATATAATAAATATACTTTTCAGACCAGGCCAGTCACTTTTCAAACAGTTTCTGAAATATCTGTGTTTTCTAAATTTGAATGCAAGGAAAGTGACGAGTATACCAGGGTACTAATTAAATACATAATTTATTGGAAAATATAAGATTTATTGGAACTTTGAGCAAATTATACATTAAATATCTTAAAATCAAATAATACCACACATCAAATCATCAAAATCAGTGTAGGTAACTGTAAAATTACAGGTCACTGTAGAATAAATTCATGCACATAATCTATAACGTCAAACGTCAACATTATCCACATGGAGCCTACACAAGGAGTACAAATAATTAATAGGGAGATTTGACAGAACATACCCACGAAATCGCACAAATTACGTGTTTTTTCACCACTACTGATTTTCTTTTTGTACTGACGTTGTTTTGGAACTGTTTCGTTAGAAACCAAACAAGATACATACACCTTAAGATAGGATGGTCCGCATGTTGGGCGGGGCTTAAATACGCTAAAGAAGTATCGCTAGTAGCGCCACCACTCGGCTGTTATCATCGTAACAAAAGTAGAACTTTTAATAATCAGCTGTTAAACGCTTATGTTACAAACGAGTGTTTTTGAGAATAAAGCCGGAAAATGTTAAAAAATATTGAAAAAAAACCGTGGATCGATTTGTTGTGTTGTTGGGTGTATTTCGAGAGGAAATCCTGGGTTGAGTTTTTACCGGTTTTCCAATAAACAGTGTTAATCTGAATGAAGAAATAAATTGCATACAGTCTCTGTAAATATAAATTGTACCTATATACAATAAATACACATTAACGTGAAAAGTGTAAACATTTCAATTCAGTAAAAATCGTTAAACAAATAAGTCGTCTAAATTTAAGAAGCATTTAGCATTATTAAAATCGTTGATTAAGAATTCTTCAAAGTCTCCACGGTAAAAAAAACATTATATTATGTATTATATAAAATATTATGTTGCCACGAATTCGGTATATTTTGTTGTTTAAAATGCAGTTGTCGGCGTTTTTTAGAGAACTCAAATATAAAAATGATTGATTTTAAGGTTATGTTTGTGCAAAAATTATTTTTTACTAATTTCTTAAAAATGTCCAAACTTAAATATAAATTATATTAGGTAAAGTTATCATTAGTTAATTCTGCACCAACAAATGTAATTACCAAATTGGATCCTTTGGCAAAACATGAAAATGCAACGATTTAGTTCTTGAATTTAATTTACAATTAAAAACACAATAATTCACCATGATCCCTTTGTTACTAACGTAACTATAAAAGCATTTAAGCGTTGAGTTTCTTAATCAATGATATAAGGAATAATTAATCGAAATCGAGTACCAAAAGTCTTTTTCCTTGCAACGTAAAACACAAATAACGTGCGCGATTTAGCTGTGCAATTGAACGAAATTTGTCGAGTATGACTGTCTTTTGTAAAAAAACTACCTATTTATTTAAAAATGATGTATAATCGGTGCTTTAAATGTATTGTTGACAATTCTTAAATTCACGCAATGCATTCGAAGTCCACCAGAGGGCGCGCGCGTTGCGAAAACCCGATACTTCTTTAGCGTATACAAAGTTAGGTGAATCAGCCCCCGCTACAGTAACTGCGCCAATGATGTTTTTTTTTAAATTCATTAAAATGAGTTCACTACATTTTTCAGAGGTGAAAGTTTATTAACGATTCACTGTACTTTATTTCCTAATTTCCAGGTATACGATGAAGTACTAAACAGGCTAAAAAAAGCATACCAACAAGTCCAAAACAGGATTGGTGATGCCTTGGAATCAAACACGTTGATTGGTCCACTACACAGCACACAATCCTTGCAAAAATACAAGGATACCATCGCCGAAATAAAAAAACATGGAGGCAAAATTGAAATTGGTGGAAATGTAAGTAAACCACATAGTTATTGGACACTTAATATTATTTATTTAAAATTTATATATGCCGTTGTTTTAAAGATTTTAGTTTTTTTCTTATGAATATATAAAAAGGATAGTTTGGTTAAACTTTATTTGCGTTTACTTAAAAATAAGAATATTTGAATTTTTAATAATAGTTTTATAAAAACATGCAAAAAAGTATAGTAATTGGACATTTTATATAGTAATTGGACACATGGACCATAGTTATTGGACATAAAATTTTTATATAAACATAACAACTTTATATCAAATAACATAAATTGTTAAATATTTTTTAAAGATAAATTGCTGTTTTTGGTAATTTTTTTATTTCGTTTTTGTAAATATCATATAATTCATATATTTCTTTTCCTCATCCCTTTTCTGGAGTCTGTTAACTACTAAGTCCTTGGTATGACTGAAATAGTTTATTGCAAATATAATTAAGTGTGGTATCTCTAGTTTGTGAAGCATTTATAATGTTTAGGCTGGAACAGGATGATTTATATATATCTAATATTTTTGCGGGTGGTATGTTAAAAGTATTTTCCGAATTTATTAATTTTGTTGCCATTAGTTTTTTATGTTCTCTATCATGCATTGTATTTAAATAACTGTTATTCTGCAAGATGTCCTTTGATGAAGAAATCACTATATTACTTACTCTCTAAAAATGAATTAGTCAAAAATGTCATAGCGAAAAAGCAGCCACCAATAATTCTCGTCAACAGCAATTTGTATCCAGGACATTCAATTCCTATGAAATATTATTTGCTGAATCCGAAAATGTCGTCAAAAGTTATAAAAGTAGAACAGTTTTTGAAATATAATCAATTTTTTTTAAAATATGGAATGGACTATATCTCAAAAACTGCTTAACTTTTTTGACGGTGTTTTCGGATTCAGGGGACAATTTTACATAAGAATTGGCTGGCAAATGCCCGGGATATAAATAGAGTATGACATTGGACATAATATGTCCAATAATAGAAATTTACATTTTTTAGATGTCCTGTGACAAATCACTATATTACTTACTCTAAAAATTACTTGGTAAGTTACTCTCTAAAAATGAATTACTCAAAAATGTCATAGCGAAAAAGCAGCCACTAATAATTCTCGTCAGCAGCAATTTGTACCTAGGATATTTAACAGTCAATTCATATGAAATATTATTCGCTGAATCCGAAAATGTCCTCAAAAGTTATAAAAGTAGAACAGTTTTTGAAATATAATCAATTTTACATATAATATGGAATGGACTATAGACTATGAGTATGAGTATGAGTATGGGAACGTATGGCAAGCCCCAGATATATTGTCATCCACTGATCTCCCGGGGTTATATTACCCCCTTTCCGTTCTCCTGCGTATCCCGCCAAATCACAGCATTACCTGTGTTTGTTGGATCCGAAGTTTTTACGCCAGCTGGTAGATCCACCCTAGGAGTTCGTGGATGACAGTGTCAAAGGTTAAGGCAGCTCCCGGGATTTTTGTCAGCCGGGTCGGGCCATACGTCCAGTTTAGGAAGGGTTTTTGGAGGACATTGAACTGACCCAAAACTAAGTACAATCCGGAATCCTCCTCAACCTAGGCCTTAGTAGTATCCCCATTCAATTGGTATTCGTGAATGGGGGTGGGTATGTTAGTTTTTTGCTTACTCCGGCTACCAACCTTGTATATTCTTTATTTATTTTATTGCTATATTAGTGTTCATACCGTTTTCATTTATTTATATCTTTGCCATCTTACTTATTTTTTTTCAAATTAATTTAAAAATATAATATGGAATGGACTATATCTCAAAAACTGTTCAACTTTTATAGTTTTTGACGGTCTTCAGGGGACAATTTTACAAGAATTGGCTGGTAAATGTCCAGGATATAAATAGACTTTGATATTGGACATATTTGCAATAATAGAAATTTACAGTTTTTACCAACCAGTAATTGCACACTGGCCATTTTACTGTTTGTTTCCAGAATTAAAATTAAAACGCATTAAAGTGACATTGTTAAATCATTTATACCACACACTGATCTGTACACTTTTTAGAAATGTTTTTATTGTAATTTAAAGTTTAAACACAGCCCTGCTCTTAACAAAAAAATAAAAATCTTACCACCAAAGTAACGTGCGAACTTTTTTGTCCTATATTGGACCCAAAATAAAGTAGTTCTATATTATTACTGACTGAGATAGTTATAATTGTATAAAGCATCATCTAATGATTTGACTTTAAGGTAACTATTTATAGAACTCTTGCTTTTCCAGTATTTATGTTAATTGTCCAATAACTATCTACTTTACCCTACCTGCCAAGTAAAAAAGTAAGAAAAACCTATGATTGCATTTTAGGTTTTGGATAAACCTGGATATTTTGTGGAACCAACCATCATCACAGGTCTTAAACACGACAATCCTTTAGTTCACAATGAATGTTTTGCTCCCATTGTCTACTTATTAAAGACAGAAAGTGTGGAAGAGGCCATTTCCTGGAATAACGAAGTACCACAAGGATTATCATCAAGCATATTCACACAAAGCATTGGCAACATATTCAATGTAATTATAAGATAAAATAACAACAAAAAATACTGAATTATTTTTTGCAGTGGATTGGACCAAAGGGTTCAGACTGTGGAATAGTAAATGTCAATATTCCCACATCTGGTGCTGAAATTGGGGGAGCTTTTGGAGGTGAGAAACACACCGGGGGAGGAAGAGAATCTGGAAGTGATGCTTGGAAGCAATATATGAGGAGGTCAACAATCACCATCAACCATTCCAAAGAATTACCTCTTGCACAAGGCATCAAGTTTGAATAAAAATGTATATCAAATTCTAAAATAAATGTTTAAAATATTTTTAATAATAATAATAATAATTTATTGAACCAGGTGTATGGGATACATTTTATGAATTGGACATTACATAAAATCTGCAAGAGGTTTATTAAACCTTTAAAATGGCTTAATTTTTAACATGATATAAGATATGAATTATAACATTAAAACTATGGGGTCATTCCATGACAAACGATACTAAGGGTGAAAAAATTCTTTTCGCATTAAATCTGATGAATTTTGAAGGACAAAAAATACTTACATTGTATTATTTTCAGAACACAGGACGAAATTAGACAGATACATAACCTTAATTACCTAGTTGAATGCATTTCTCATTCAAATGTCAAACTGGGACTTTTTGATTTGTAAAATTTCTGTAATGTTTGATTTTTTAACCTAACTTTTTCCGAATCATAATGTTTTGTTTAATGAATACAAACATTTCGAAAATAAATCCATCTACTCACAGAACTGTTTGTTTGTTTACAATTTTGACGTAAATATTGAAATTGACAGCAATAAAACTAAAAACTAATGTTCATTGCCAACATAACAAACGAAATGTTACTGGGAAATTTTTATTTGGTTGTTTTCTCTACATAGCGTTTTTCTATCTCTCTCCAAGGTTTTTCAAAAAAAGTTTGAAGAGTGAGAAGGAATTTATATTTATTTTTCTGATTGGACTTGTGTGATTGTATTGTTGCGCATCTTGCAATTTTTAGTAAGACAAAATACTAGGGAAACGAATAAACACGTATAAAATCGTAGAAGTAAACGATTTGTTGTGGTTTCGCAATATTTTATCAGCCGATGCCGATCGTTGAACTTGGTGTTTGTAGATTTTCTCTTTCTTTTCCCAGGCTCTGAAAAATCTCAAGTTTATAAAAATAAATATGAAAGGCCTAATTAGAGTACAGTCCGCGCAGTAATTTTGATTTTTGACCCCGTTTTGAGTTTACGTTTACTGTCTATTCTGTGCCGTTAGTTGAGCCTAAAAGAGGCTGTTCTTTCGTGTTTTCAAACGCAATATTAATTTGGAAATTTTTAAAAGCCAACGACTATAGGGAGTTTTTTGTGGCGTTTTTTTTAAGACGAACGTCGTGTATTGATTTGCCTTAAAGGCTTGGCCCGGCGAATAAACGGACTATACATGGTTTATAGGGGTCTTACGTGGTTTCTATTGGCTCACTGACTCATAAAAAAGTGAGGGACAAATTTTTTGTTGGAATTTTCCAAATGACTGCACATTTACATAGTAGGCGACTCCAAATTTTGAGAAATTTTCAATCCAACCAATGCAATTTTAGAAAAACTGATCAAGGTGTTTGGTGTTGTTTGAACGTTTGTGTGTTGTTTTGAAAAAAGTGAATGATGGATTTTGAAGAAATGTACACAGCCGACTCCAAATTTTAAGAAATTTTCAAGCCAACTTAAATATTTTAGAAAAACTGTTTCTTTCAAGGTGCTTGGTGTTGTTTTACAGTTTTTGTGTTTTCAAACAAAAAAGTAAATAATGGATTTTGAAGAGATAAAAAAGTATTGATTATTTTTTAAGGTTTTAAGTTCATAAAATTTAACATTCATATGTACTGTGATTCCAATCAGGCATATTTGAACAATTATAACCTAACTAAATACAGGGACTATTAACAACAAACAAAATGCTGCCTCAACAGTACTGTTTGAGATGGAGATATCACCATTCCAATTTGCAAACTATGTTTTCACAACTATTGGAACGAGAAGCTTTTTGTGATGTGATTTTAGCCTGTGAAGGAAGATCGATTAAAGCCCACAAAATAGTATTATCAGCCTGCAGTACCTACTTTGAAACAATACTGTCCCAATATGAAGAAAAAGATCCCATTTTAATAATGAAAGATATTAAATATGTAGATATTAAATGTTTAGTAGAATTTATGTACAAAGGAGAAATTAATGTAGAACATGTAAGTATCTCGACTTAGGATAGATTTAACCGTCAATGTATGCAAAATTTAGGCAAAATAAAACCACAATTGTGAATTAAACTGTCTCGTGTGCCTTAGTTGTGTCTGGTAGATATAACTAAAAGTTTATGTGCCCCAAAGGCAACTGTTTTTAGTTTACTTTACATTTTTGCCTACATTTTTTTCATACCTTTATAAAAAAAGTAAGTAAGCCAGGACCTAAAATGTAGGCAAAAAGTAATAACTTTATTTTAAAAAAGTGGACTCAATACAGTTTGGCTTTGGGGTACAGATTTTAAGAATTTCACTAGTCTTTGACTGTCAATTTTATCTAGATTACCTAACTCTTCTACGAATGCCAACTTAAACAGTTTAAACTGGACTAGATAATAATGTTTGGGTGATATGGATTCATTAAATAAAACTCCTAATAATATATTATCACAATAATTTACATCAAATTCATATTTAAATAATTATACCTACCTACTACCATTCTAAACATTGACAAAATTTAATAATCTAATTTTTTGTGTATACCTAGAAAATGCTTGTAGTACGTATACCTACGTATACCTATAGGTATACTGTAGCAAAATAAATTAAAATTACTACCTATACCTATAATAGGTAATATTAATATATATATAGGTAATATTAATATTAAATTACTGTAGCAAAATAAATTAAAAAATACTGTATGCTCAAATATACTACCTTACCAAAAATACGGTATACATAGTTTTAACAAAGTATAAAAATTTGTACTATACCTACATAGATATTTATATTATATAAAAACCAAAAACCCATTAACAAAATTTTTACTCAAAATATAATTACAACCTTTTGTTAATTATTGTTTAACAATTTTGGTAAGGTAGTGTATTTTAGTATACAGTATTTTTTAATTTATTTTGCCATAATAACAATTACTTACATAATATAGGTAATTATAATATTATTATAATTATTAGGTATTATGGGTCATTACCACAATAAAGATTCCGAATTTTGGTAGTATACAGTATACTACCAAAATTATACTGTATACTCCTCACCCAAAACTCTCACCTTGACATTTGAATACAAATAATTGAGGTGATCTATCTGTCAGGTAAACGATAATTTCGTTTAATATTTGTATTTTTGTGTAGAATAGTATATTATTTTATGAGAGATAATGCCTATAATGCTAATATACTTTAACTACTCCAATAAGTAGATAATTACCTAAATGATTAAAAAAAGATAAAATCTGACATCTGTCAAATGATTAACCTTACTTTTTACCAATTTTAAAGTCATTCTTTCAATTTTAAACCTGATTGGTTCAAATCACAGTGAATATTGAAATCGGCCAATCACTGATGCCTTAGTTCATTATTCCCGTTGTTAGGCAGGGAATTTAAAATATTTATCATTATTCACAGAAAAAAAACAATATGAGTATATTTGTTTTCGACTCAAAATCTTTATTTATTGTGCGATTTTAACCGGATTTGTTTTAAAGTGTAGATCTTGATAAACTGTATTTTTGAAACATAGTACCATGTTACTTTTAGTTTAATTTTATTTCAATGTTTTTTCCATGGATAACTTTATTGTGCATTTTTCAACTTAAAATTTTTCAATAAAATTTAGTAAAGGGTCGTTTTGAGGAATGGTGAATCCAGTGCGTTGCTTAGATTTTGTTTAAAAAAATTGCCAAAATGAATTCTTAAAAATTTACTTTTAAAAACTGACATAGTAGGCCTTGTATTTTGTACAAATAAAGCGTTTTTGCTCCAAAAATACAGTTTATCAAATACACACTTTAAAACAAATCCGGTTAAAATCGCACAATAAATGAAGATTTAACAGGGGTGAGTCGAAAACAAATCGGTCACACTGTATATGATGGAAAATGGCGTGTAAAATCCGTTTTAAATTATTAACTACTTAAAGCAATTTTAAGGTAATAAGTGAAATTTTTTTTATATCTTCAATTAAATTAAATTACTTTTTAATTTAAATACCTAATTATATTAAATTATTTGCAACAGTAATAGGATATAGGCTAAAATATTTATATTTGCAATTCAAAAATTAAAATCAATAATCATAAACAATTTATAGAAAACATTTTCGTGGAACTATAATAGTTCAACTATTATGCTCAAGCATATTTAAAACATAAAATTTAAATCAATAAATAGTATAGCTTTTTGTAGATACCCTTTAAAAAATGGTTTTAGAGAAAGTCCAATAATGACCTTCCAGAACAGAACCGTGAAAAGTCTAATTTATTATTAACTGTATTGCAAATTTGTTATTTCATTAATAATACAGTTAATTCATGTGTTTGTCAAATTTAAATTGATATTACAAAACACAGCTTATTTATAAATAACGAAGTAAATATTAAATCTAATTCTTTATCATTAATTATTAATTAATAATGTACATATGTAATATAAATTACGCAATTCCAAAATTGCAAATTTGTATACAAAATTGTAAAAATATTTACAATTTAAAGGTAAAAAACAAATAGGTATTTGTATTACCCTTTTTATTTAATATTAAAATATTTAATTGGTGTCCCAAATTAAAGTATAACATCTTTTGACAATTACCTCTACAGTTTAAAAAAATGCTTTTGATTATTTATGTATGTAAACACATTGTATTTAATACAATTACTAGAAAAGAAAACAATTTTTAATAATTGTTTTAAAGTTGGTACTAAGTTCACACCAGTGGCGGCTGGTGGATTTTATTAAAATAAAAAATATTTAAAATGGTATAAAACCTGTAATATTTGGATTTTTGAAATAAAATTTTAAATTTTTTGATAAATTATAGTAGATAATAAATTGCACCACTTTAATTTGAATTATCTTAAATAGGAGGGCCTGGAGGCGGTTGAGGCGACAGGAAAAACTAATTTTTTTTCGCAAACTTCAATTTAAATTCTGTTTGCGTCGAACTTATCTATTTAATGTCATTATAAACTATTATAAATTTGGTGTGGGTCCCATGTCTAATAACTAGAATATTGGTATACCCAAAATCCACCAGCCGCCACTGGTTCATACCCAAAAGTCCCACATTGACATTTGAATGTAAATAATTGAGGTTAGATATATTTGTCAGTTATTTCGCCTTATTCTCTGAAAATAATTCAATTTATGTATTTTTGTCTTCTAAATTAATCTTGGTTATGCAATTAAGTGGATTTTATTTTTTCTCCAAAACTAAGCAAGATACCAACAAAATTTTAAAATGAAAAAGTTGTATTTTTAGTTGCTTAATCCAAAGATATTATCTGAAATTAATCCGAAAAAAAATTAAAATGACATAAAAGTCTGTGTTGTACATTTGTTGTCACAAATATTTTTATAGGTGCTTGGGACGCCACTGTACTTAATAAATTTAATCAAGTTTGAGCTACAAATAACACTGACAAATGACAAAAAAATCGTCTTGTAAATTTATTGTCCATTTTTTTCTTACATAAATACACAATAAAAAGTGAAAAAAACAATTTTTTTTTAATACAATTTTTAATAAATTTTGTGTTTTTTGTTCAAACAAAGGAGTAAAAAAACTAAAAACAAAATTTTTAATTTAACCCCAAGCTATATTTTTTTACTTATTCGTATAAACTTAAACACTTTGGACAAAAATTATAGGAAATTTTATAAAAATAAAAAATAATTTGATTTTCTACTTTTCATTGTGCAGCAGGGTTCGCCTGATTTAAATCACGATTTAAATCAGTTTTAAAAATGCATCTAAAATCTAAAAAAATACTTAAAAGATCTAAAACTAAAGCACAATATCTTGACACTATTTAAATATTCATAGAAAAACTGCTTATTTTGTTAAATAAAATAATGAAGGAATATACAAAAAAATATATGACAGTTAACTAGTTGCGGACGGTGGTTTGTTTATTTGTTTATTAAGTAGTGCCAATGTAATATTATAGTCAAGTTATTTTTAGTATTTTTTTTAATAGTACTCTTTATTAAAAAAGATTATAATTTTGAATTGACCAATAAGGGCCGCGCTTGTTTTGATTTGGTCCTAAAAAAAGTAACTACATATATTTTTGATTCAGCGTTTGATTTTTGAAAAAGCTACCAAAAGCACTTTTTTCATGATTTTTCAAATTCATGGAGAGTATGGATTTTTTTTTCAAAAAAACAATAGCAAATTCTTGTAGAACATTTATTCATTGGTGGTTAAGTCAGAACAATCCGTAGACCAAAAAAGAAATCCAAAAAATTTCGAATTTTTTTATTACGGTATTCGTTAGGATTGAGCGTTGCACGTTTTTCGTAAGTAATATCATAAGGGCATTTAATTTTTCCGAAAAGAATCGAAAAAACACGTTGCTAAGTGATATTTTAACAAAAAGCATGAGTGCTGGTGGCAACAAAAATCCGAGTCGAAGAGGAGGATTTTTGCACCTGCACGAATGCTTTTTGTTAAAAAATATTACTTAGCATTGTGTTTTTTCGTTTTTTTTCACAGGAAAAATTAGATGCCCGAATGGTATTTGACAAGACTATTTCATGAGTAACAGTTAACAATTAAAATATAAATTGCAATTTTTGGTGACAACAGCTGTCAAGTTTTGCCGCGGGTAAACTCGAAAAAACTGCTGACAGGTGCTGTCACACAGTTTTTTCACCTAGAAACCATTTGTAATTCAAAATTGCGCGTTCGTAATTGGTGGAAATTAAGACGAGGGAAATAGTCATCTAAAAATCTCAAAACCAGAAACTTTTTTACGGCTCCAATACGACCATTTTTAACGAAGATACAGCTATCCGAAAAATCGCAAAAAATTTGGAATTTTTTCTATTAGTGTAGAAGTTTTACTTGCTTTACTACCAAATAATAAGAAATCAGATTTTTTAGTCTCGGTCAAAATTTTCAATAATGAAAAATGTAATATATTCTACATTTCACTTTATTATTAGTATAAAATTTAATTTTGAATAATT